TCCTTAAAACTTACTTTTACTGTGAATTCTTTACATGAGTAATCTAAAACATTTTCTAGAGTAAAAAAAAGAAAAATCAGGTGAGGAGTTGTTCATAATTATAGAATTATAGCTCTGTCACCCCTAGGATATTGGTTTTAAATTCTCTGCCCAGCTCCTTTTTTATCTAATGATTTTTCTCCTACATCTCATCACCCTTGAGTGCAGAGACAAAGACACAAAACATATTTTTCAACATGGCCATAAGTGGCTTTTCATGGAGACATAGATAATAGCTTATCTGATTTATAGGACTATTTTCTTGCCATGGGTTTGAAAGTTTGAAGAGACAGAGGATCTATTCCTGCAATGCTTTACTTCATGCACCAAGATAAGATAGTTCTATCAGAAAGAATATAAGTCAGCCCAGTCCCAAAGCAGTTGCACGACTTTCTAAAGATGAAATACAATAATTCACTGCTGGAGAAATTAAAAAAAAAAATCTTTCCTCAAATTGAATTGCACCTTTCTCCTCCCTTCCCTGGTAGGGCCACCAGAGTCAAAAGAAGCAGCTTTTGCTTCCCTTGGTTACACCAAAATTGCTATAATCATATAGCTACACCATTCACCATCAAAAAATTTGACCCTTAATTACTCTTAACACATATACACTTACCAGCCTTTCTAGATTTCTCCATCTACAATTGACACCTTCATGTTTCACTACAAAGTAAATATAATACTACATTCCTAGATGAGGAGACCTGGAGCTTTGCTTCTACTGCTGTACTAATTCTTCTACTTTGCACGCATGCACATTTGTTACCATGGGTTTATATGGGAGGTGCTATGGACCAGGAATTATTTTTCTTATTTCATGAAAGTGCATTAAAATAAAACTAAAGGTAAATGGCAGAATAAATTTAGTATGTGAAATTACTGAAGGATGAGGTAGCAGTAGACATCCAACACTAGGCATTCAACTGGAGTAAGCTGTTTCGATCCCTCAAACAAGTTGAACCATACTGAGTTCAAACTGTTCAAGTTCCAAAATGTAACATTTGCAAAATAGGGTCTTTATTTGCTCTAGAGAAAAAACACGTGAAAGGGTACAAAACGAGGCGTGACACCCCCTCCCCAAAAAAAAAAACCAAAACAAACAAAAAACCTCACAAAACAAACAGAAACCCAAACCAATAAAACAAACAAAAAAACCCCAAAAACCAAACCCAACACTAAAATCCCACAAACAACAGTTAGGGAATTGCTGGTTTCGGTGGGGCATGAGCAGTTAATGAAGGAGAGAGATGCGTAGAATTCCTTCTTTCTCACTCCCTGAGGACTTTATAGGTCAAAACTTGCACTAAGAATTGATACAGAAATGGTCCTGGGGATCCAAAAAGTTCACACCTCATAGCTCTTTCCTCACTGCAAAAGCCAGACGAAGTCTCCATGGTGTGGCATGTTTTCTGCATTATTGTTTCTGCTTTCATTAGGAAGATCAAAAACTAACTCCCACAGCAAAAGTCTGGTTCCTATTCCTCTGAGTAGCTTATACACAGATTTATGTGCAAATTAATAACCTAGCCCTTCAGCTCAGGAAAGAAGCTTTTTGTACTTCAATCTCCAGAGATTTCTAAATTCAGAGCCTTCAGGTAATCAGTGAGAAAGCAAAATCAAAGCTTTCCAGACCAGAGCCTATTTTCCCTGCTTCTACAGTGAATTACTAAATCTGATAAACAATATTCTGACGAAAATGCTGATCCAAGAGAGCAAAAAAGTGATCCTCTAGAACATGTTTATTCTGCTAAAACTGTCCTCAGGCAGGCAGGCACTTCCTACTGCCTGACCAGCTGGCTAGCCTGGCTGGCTCCTTTCCAGCTCACCTGCCAGCCAGCCAGGCAGGACACAGGGCAGGGCCTGCAGGGGCAAAAGAACATCTGCAAAAGAAGTGAAACAAATAGTTCGGTTTTGCCTGAAGTTCCACCATGTCAACATTCTGTTCAAGCATGGGAGGAAACAAAATGTCAACCACCTAGAATTTTCCACAAAACAGAAATACCCTTTTCTGGCCAATTTTACTTCCAAACTGTTGGAACCATGTATGCCTCTCTATCCGTATGTGCGTTATTGCCTCTCCATGAAAAATAACTCTTACAGTGTCTGCTTCAATTCTACTTCAGAAGCATGGACTTAAAAGACAATGAGTATTGAGGAATCAGTCCCATGTGGTTAAATTAATCAGGTTTTTATAAATCATATACAGCATGATAGAATTGAGTATCTGAGTAAAAAGGTTCAGTATTTTAAAACTGTTAAACACCATCTCTTCTGCAAGACTTACAAAAACAGCTCTTCAGTCAGACAGTTGGTCAATTCTGCTGCTTATAGTACTAATTTCACAACACTACAGACTGTAACCAGAGGGATATTTCACAAGGACTTTGTCATCATGCATATGGTGTTATTCTACTGATCTATTCCTTGGAGAAACAATAAAACATCTGGATTTCTAATTACCACTATACCCACCTAATAAGCGACCAGTAATTTACACTGTTCCCTGCTATTTGTAAAACAACCTCCTCTAACTTCAGAGATCTGGTCATCTTTTCACCTTTCTGTATCTCCTAACTCTAGCAGAAAAGTATATACAAATATTGCTATTGCTCTAATTAGAGGATAGAGAGTAAAAGCAGTTAAATGCATCACTTCAAGCCAATACATTTGTGGTCTTGATAAAGATGAAGTCAGAGTTCAGTAGATAATTCATTCTCAGAAGCTTCTAATTTATTTCATATTGCTCTATCAGCAGTTGTAGCCTTTTGCCCACTCCCTCCAGATCTAGTTGAGGATCAAAGCTGATTCAACTGTCAGGTCGCTCAGGTGATTTTTTTATTTTTATGGGTAAGAGGGTTGCATTTGACATGTACTTCATTCATATACCAAATTGTGACAGAACTAGACAGAAATGGAAACTGGCAATTAATTTTTTAAATTGGGTCAAAGGAAATCACCTTTGCTGTACATCTAACTCCGTTGAATAAAAAAAGGCAACAAATCCAAAGCAATCTACTAAAAAAGAAAAACAACCAAATACTGAATTTTACGCTTGTGCTACCTTTAGCACATGATTTTGAGAAGGCCACAAAAAGATACATAGCTACTTTCAACTGCAAAGCCTTTCCAAGAGGCATCAGTTTCTTACTCAGAATAATACATATTAAAGTTTCCCACATACTGAAGTTTCTCCATATAGATTTTTAACCTGATGAATCTAGCCATTTTTCTATGGCATTTCATTTAAAGCACAAATCCAACAGTCATTGCTCTTAACTGCTTTTAATTTTCTAAGCCAAAGAATTTTTCTTCTCAAAGAACGTAATTAAAGGCTGTTACTGTCCTACTTCCCCAACCTTTAAATCATCCTCTCTTCAAAACATCTCAAGACACTTCAGGTTCCTCTGAAGTAAATTCCTCTATGCACAAATTAATGGATTCAAATTTTAAAAAATAAATACGCCCCCCAATGAAACATTAACTAATGACACATTAAAGAAAGAAGAAATAGTGAATCCATCAAACAAAAATAATAGATGACTTATTAGTCCTTTGCTGAAGAATTTCTAAGCCAAGACTCATAACTCATCTTTTTCAATGAAATTGTTTGTGAAATAGTAGTGCTATTTTACTACAGTTTTGGTAACACCTAACATTATTTTCTACTGTAAGTTAACGACTTCAGCCATCAGTTTTCTATCATTATTTCTCATATTCATTTCAATCACTTCAGCTCTTCTTGTTTTCAGGAAGCAGATGGAGGAACTTTCAGATTGAAAGGCCAACAGATTTAGAACAAATCAATAAAATAAACGGCAACCAATTGTCAGGACTGGATGTTACTCCCCAGAGTTTATAAGGAATTAAAAAATGAATCATCAAATCACATTAACTGTGACATGCAGAATGCTATTTGAATCAAAGACAGGACTAATAGGGTGGAAAGCAGTAAGAGTGGCATGAGTTTACAAAAACAGTTGCAAAGAATGCAGGAAACTGACATATGGAAATCTGATCTCTGCATAGGGCAATTGTAAGATTATAATAAAGCACAGAATTACTAATCATAGAAGCGATAAAAGAGAAAAGAGCCTATGTGACTTCTGTGGAGCCAAGTAATGCTCAACCCCTGTCCTGAACCATATTTTTAAGGAGCTGGCAAGGTGGTGAAAAAAGGAGGTACTGTTAACAGTGCATTTTGATTTCTACAAACCTTTCAATAAGGTTTGTCACATAAGGTATCTTGTGATATGAGAGAAGGTTATCTGATAAAGTCTGAAGGGCAGAATAAAGACTGCTTTCACAATAAAGAGGCATAATTATTAGAAGTTACCTTTGCCGGCACCTGTGCATTTAATATATTCATAAATTATCTAGAAATAGAAGAATGGTAAAGAGTTTTTTTGATTATTTGGAGTATTCAAAATTAAAACTGACTGACGAGATTAGCAGAGAAGTCTTATCAGCATGTACAACTTGGGATAAAGAGGCACATCACATTCAGTGTCTGTAAATGCAGAACATATATGGGGAGATGATGGCTGACTTACGAATAATGGTGGGGTCTAAATGAATTCTATCTGCCCAGAAAAGATTGAGTAATCTTGAATAATAGCATGAAACACATTCTCAAATAGACAAAGGATTAGAAGAGTAGAAAACAAACCATTCCAATCTCTGTCTTAACCCCAATCCACCTGTATCTTGAAGAGTCTTTTAAATTCTAGATCCTCACCCGGAAAAAGATTGAAGCAAGTTACGAAAGCTTCTGTAGAGAAAATATTAAATGAATTGGCAGAAGAATTATAAAGGAGAGATACGATAAAAATCCATCTAATCATGACAAGCATGGGAAGGACAAACTGTATAGAATCATTCCTTTTGCTTGCTACAGAAACTCAAAGGCAATTAGGCAATTAGTTTTGAGCTTTTCGGCAGATATTTTAAAGCTAAGTATCTTAATGTCACAGTGTGCTGTGGAGACAAAAAGTATGAATTATCTTAAATAGGTAATTATATTTATGGAATAAAAGTCCATCAAAATGTATTAAGTATATTGATATAAATACTAGGTATGTTTCTAAAGTCCAGTGTTGCCAGAAACTAAGGGAGAAGTATGTTACTGTATCTGTTTCACTCTTGCATTTTTTCAGTGCCTGCTGCTCGTCACCATCAGAGTAGATATACAGCTAGTTGAACTGCAAGTACTATCTTTATGATAAACAGGTATTTAGAAATGGCAGGCTTGATTTGGGTTTTCCAATTATTCCTCTTTCCTTGTCACCTCAAACTGCCAGTTATTGTATTGTATTAATACTGCCAGTATTAAATGCCAGTTATTCCAGGTAGAATTTCTCTCTGCATGTTTATGCCTGAACAAGAGCTATGTACTGCCTGAGAAGTGGACCAAGCCTTTGACCGCATGCTCTTCAATTAGATTAGTTATTTAATGAACATATTTACATCTTCAGAAGATGATCTTATGGGCAGCTATTGTCACTAAAAAGAAACACCAGAAAGAGCTCTAAGTATTTTCCATACTGGCTCACCACAGTTTTCTATCCCATTCTGTTTAGAAACCCTGAGTCAACACCTGGAGTACCTTGAGCTCTGTGAAGATGACACAGAAGTTGAAGATCAGATCCTTCAAAGTCTGAATGGGATTCTCCTGGCTCTTACTGAAGATAGCTGAGTATCACTTCAGATTGCTATTTAACCATTTGCACAATCCAAAAGCATTCACTGAAGGTTTTCATCTATTGTGATAATCTGCATTGCAAGAAGTGATTGCTGCTAGAGTTACAGCTGTCCTCAGCCTATTTTGTTGTTTTCCTTTCTGTTTGTATACTTGCAAATCTACCTGTGACCAGAAAAGCTACTGGTTACTAAAACACCTGAAGCTGCAGACAAATTCAAAATTTAATATTCTATTTATTACAAGCTCCTAGGATTAAACTGGGGTGACCCTATCAGATCATCAATTTCAAAAGTAGCTCCTAGACCCCTTACAAGAAAGCCTTTAAGGTCTCTGCCCATTCTCCTGAAATAACACAGGCCTGCAATTATCCAAAACTCCTGGCAGATGGCAATTTAATACCTTAAAAAGAATTAGCCATACCTTTGATGATAAAAACCTAAGGGAATTGACTGTTCTAATTACTAGTCTAATAAAAGATATTGTGCCTACCTACAAAATTAATTTCTAAGCCATACTTCAGGAATAGAATCTTAATCCCTGACTTCCCATGCATTATGCAAGCATCCTTTTATAGTCAAAGATGATGAAACTACTTTCCTCTTTGATTTGCCACCTGTGCTTCAATTCCGCATGAAGCAGAATTATCAGCTAGAACTACACTTGCTTCAATTCAAGCAGATGACTGATCCCATACATTTAGACTGAGACAGCCTTTAAGTAACTTGCTAAATCAGAACCTTGTATCCCACAGATATCCACTAAGAACTCTAGGAAACAAAGCAACATGTAAATAAACAAGTTACGAATGTACTGCAGGTATTGTTAACACTCTTATCGTTACAGAGCAGAGATCTTTCAGCCTACTCAGAGAGAGTGGGATCTTTGTAACTTTGGCAAAAATCCTGAAGGGCAATCCACAATGTGCAGTGAAAGCAGCCCAGGTGCTTTCAGAGATAGCCAAGAATGGTATGTTGTACTAAAGTCTTACTACAAGGTGTATGTTTCCGCTCTTGATTTTTGTTACATAGCTATTAGCTATTGGTCTTGCAATTGCAATTACTTTATTTCAACATGGCAAAAAACCACAAGTCCCTCTCCTTTACCTATACAGAGGAAATGAAGAAACCATGTATTGAGGCAGATTTGGTTCCAACTTTGATACCTTTGCTGGAAAGCACAGACCAAGAAATGTTGCTTCATGCTGGGAGGGCTATTGGCCGCATTTGTTATGATAATAGTAAGTACTGACTTGAGAGAATCCCATTTTCCCTAGCTGTAAGGCATTATTTTATAAGGCATTGTAACCTGCAGTTCATAATAATTTTGAGACCTGAGCCTCCATTTAGGTGTACAATTCACACAGCTCACAGACCAGGCTGAATGCATCTCAAACACCTCCAGAACTCTGGGTTTCCCCTATGTTCTTGACTTCAAGGTGACACATTCTTTGTCAGAACTGCTCTGCAACTACCAGAGCAGCAGAGACTCAGATGTATCTTAATTTTGCAGAACTGCCTTGGGCCCAAATCCTGAATGGCTTTGCCTTCTTCCAAAGTAATAACAGCATCTATAAAGCAAAGCACTTGTTCAAAAAATGTGTCAGAAAAAAAACCACTCTAAAAATATTAATAAAATACAGATATTTATCTATATTTATCTATGCAAGGAATGGTATTCTCCAAGATAACTGTGCTCCAGATTTTTCCATAAAGCCAGTACGCTAGCTTGCCTGCTGGTCTCATGGTCTCCCTTTTCATTTACTAGTCCAAACAGTTTAAGATTTTTCTTTCAATTCCCAGAATGACCAGAAGTATTTATTGCATACTGCAGGTAATATGGAACTTTTCACCCCCAGTACCTTCTATCCATTTCCCTCTGCCTTCAACATACCTTCTCTTATCTTTCTAGTGTGGACGTACATAGCTTTATCCAGAAAGGTATGGGTTTGCTTTCCTGCACTGTTTCTATGAAATCCAAGCATGATAGGCACCTGGCATAGATTCTATTAGCCCTCTGCAAATTAACATGTATTTGCCAAGGAACGACAATAAAAAAACCTCCCCATATGATTACCTGTAAGGCTCATGCAACTACAGTACACCAACAGTACTGTAGCATATGGCCATACTATTAATGTGCTTCACTTCTGCCAGAACACAGGCCCAGCATAGATTTGACAAGATGACTCTAAGATACATGCTTTAATAATTCCTATTACTAACACAGCAATAAATACATCCACAGAAAAAATAACTTCAGTGATTCCCTGATTTAATTACAAGTGTATATGCCACAATAGCACCCAGACACTTTCTGGTATCTGTCACATATGCTATCATCCAAGTTGCAATCTAGCTCTCAGCAAGATACTGCTGCAAAGCAGCATCATTGTACTGTTAAGCAACCACCACTGTCCAACATTGTATTTCATAGCTCTTAGCATTCTCAAATCGTTTTAGATATTAAATTTTCATTCACTACAAGACAAGCTACAAAAAGAAAGAAAACAGTTATCAGTGCTTTCCTCAGTAACACAAATTCACAACTGCTTGAGAAACTTACTCAGCCTACAAAAAAAATCCAAAGACAACTTGAATTCCAGCACTCCCAAGATTCCCTGCATGCTGGGAAACCAGCATTCAAAAACCTGGAAGATGACTCCCTAAGATCAACTTTAAAGCAGTCTGTCTTCAGTAGCATAATAGCCCAAGTATTAGTAAAGTGTCCTGTTTTACAAAAGTATTTTTTTTTTAAGAAAAAAAAACAAAAACCAAACCCATTATTCTAACATGAAAATATAGACATTTGCTATATGAGTCAGAACACTGCTGATCCCTGAAAAGACAGTTGTCACTAGGCTATGCTTTATCTTGGGTTTCCAGTCCCTTCTATCTTCCTGACCTTCAGAACAAAAGAAGCTATAGGATAATAAGGCTGAGATTCCCATTCTCTGAGAGAAATAAGCGAACTGTCTGTGCCCTACTTAATTTTCAGACATGTACTAAGAGATACAGTCCATCAAAACTCGCTTTAGAAGCTGCACTAGTAGTAGAGATGTTCATGCAATTGTCTTTATAAATCTTTTACAGTGGCTTAATTCCTCTAGTCAAAGTAGCACCAGGAGATCTAGCAAAACTCTGTCCTGAACCTGCATTTCCCATACACATGCATTAGCCTGAATCCCCAGCACAAAAGCTGCACAAATTCTGACAGTGTGAGAAAGAACCAGCATATCTTGCTGCAAAGCATCTCACTTGGTCCCTTTTTACTGATTTTACTGGTCCCTATTTAATCACCTATAATTTCTATTCTTATTACCAGGGGAACTTCAGGAAGAGCTGGTGAAGGTAGGAGTAATCACACCACTAGTCCGAGTATTAACTGATTATGCAGAGAGCGAACCACTTGTCCATGTTGATCTACTGGCCTTATGCAATCTTGCAGACCTTGGTAAGTACATGTATTTTTATCTTGGAGCAAAATACAATCTTCATACTGTCACTGCCTTTCCATGTAAATGCAGAATGCCCACAGGTTTGGGAATTGTTCTGGGGGATTTTGTTGGGTATTTTTATTTGGTTTGTTTTGGGTTTTTGTTTGGTTTTGGGGGGTATTTGGGACTGGAGTGGTGGTTTAGGGTTTTTGTTTGGAATTCTGTTTTTTTAAATACTACTGATACCTAATCAGGGACTGGCCACAGTATCTGTATTGCAGAATTAATTACTCTTTCATGGAGTACCAGCAATTGCTGATATTATACATTAAAAATTATTCAGAATTAATGGATAGCTTTTGACCCAGAAAAAAGTATACATGGCATAATTTCATGTGGTAAATTGACAGACTATAGGGAGATATGCTTTTAACATTTCATCAGAAAAAGAAGCATTCAAAATCCTGACTTTATCATATACACAGATACAGCCAAGGAAGCTCTAAGCAAGACAAAGGTTGCTGAACAGCTGGTGAAACAACTGAGAAGAGCAGAGAATCATGAGAGGCTGGAAATTATCTTTGAGGTCCTGCAAGCACTTGCAGAAAATGGTAAGTCTCTTTCTAGTTTAGGGGAATGAAGAGAGACAGGTGTTGTGGTTTAAGGACTAGGATACTAGTACTTAGTACAGAGTACTTAGAACTCTGGGTTCTGAGTTTGCCTTGGGACACCCTAATGGAACCAGCAATCCCTTTAGTGGAAATAAGCCACAAGAACATAAGAAATCCTGGCCTGAGCAAGACTTTGAAGCTTAATAGGTGAGGAAACAAAGGAGGGAGTAGCATTTCACTCTGTTTTGGTGGATCCATAATATAGCAGATGACAACTCATGTACTCCATGGTGCATAACAAGAAAGCAGACTTGACGTTGTTTTCTCTTAACAAATGACGACCAAATACCACAGATGATGCCTGCTCTAAGCAGTGGTGTAATAAGCATCAACAAGAACCCACTAAAAATATCAAGATACCTGATATATATTTTAAAGAAATGAAAACTCATGACTGGCAAGACAAGAAATGCCGAAGATCAATGCAGAAGCTTTGCTCATTCTGCCTCAGTGTCATCCTAGCATCAGAATGTCTGTAACATGCAAAACCAAAACAGACTGCACCTGAAGAGACTGGCTAAAGTTCAAGGATTTAGCTTCTTAGATCAAAACACTTCAATAAAGCCTTAAGAAGCTTTTAGTGTGTGCCCTGGTTTCAGCTTGGATAGCGTTCATTTTCTTCCTAGTAGCTGGTGCACTGCTGTGTTTCTGCTTTACTCTGAGAACAATGCTGATAACACACCGATGTTTTAGTTGCTGCTAAGTAATGCTTATCCTGATCAAGGACTTTTCAGTCTCATGCTCTGCCAGCGAGGAGGGGCACAAGAAGCCAGGAGGAAGTAGAGACAGGACACCTGACCCAAGCTGGCCAAAGGGGTATTCCACACCACAGCACGTCATGCCCAGTATAGAAACTGGGAGGAGTTAGCCAGAAGGGACAGAGATTGCTGCTTGGGTTTGCTGGGTACTGGTCAGCGGGTGGTGAGCAATTGTACTGTGCATCACTTGCGTTGTACATTTGTCTCGTGTCTCATTTTTATTGTTGTTCCCTATTATCAGTATTGTTATTGTTGGTATTATTTCTATTATCGTTATATTTTACTTAATTAAATTATTAAGCTCTTGGTATCTCAACCCCTCGGTTTTATATTTTTCTGATTCTCCTCCCCATCCCACCTGAAGAGGTGACACGAGGGGAGTGAGCGAGCAGCTGCCTGGTACTCCGTTGCCAGCTGGGTATAAACCACAACAATGTGTTTTTATTGTGATCTCTACAGATGCTCTGAAAGTGCAGTTGGTGGAGGCAGGTGTGCAAGAGGTGCTGTCCGAGATCTTGATGAGGCTCCAGGGTAGTTCACAAGCTGAAAATACATGTATTGTGAAGGCTGCATCAGATCTCATTGTCTCTCTTCTTCTTGGAGGTAAAACAAAAACAAAAAAAAAAACAACCAAAAAGAGGCATACTGACAGTCCAGATGCAAAAAACCCAAACCAACCCAACATAAAAAAAGTCCCCTGGATTTGCCATCTTCTTTGCTGCTTTCACAGTTAACAGACACGTCTGCAACCTGTTTCATAATTCTTAGGGGAATTCTTCTCAGGCACCACATTATTTATTATAGGAGCCTAGCATTCCCATTGCCATGCCTCCCTTCAAGCATATATATATGTTGCCTGAAGCCATCCAACACCATGGTGACTGCTCCTATGCAGAACACAAATGCAAGCACAAGAACTTCAGGCCATTGTAGCTGTACCTGTGGCTGTCAGTTCACACCCTGCTTCTATAAATTTACTTTCAAAGCTGGCCAAAAAGCCGATTTTAAATATAAACCTAATCATCAAATTAAGTTCATGTGATACTGAACTACTCATATTTCGTGATGTACTATTCCAAATCTGTGTACAAACTTCAAACATTTGGATTAACAAATGAAAGAACTTCCTTGCAACGTAAGTTCTGCATCTATTAGGAACAGACTACTACTGCTAACCTAGATTTTTCACTAAGTCTGTAAGCTGATTTCAGGAACACTAAAAGGCTGAAGGCCTAACAGCAACTTAGTTTAAGTGGCCCTGCTATGTTGTATTTTAAGCAATACAAATTAAAGAATAAACTTGTATTGCATCCCACCACCCCCAATCCCAAAGCAACCAAGAATTTTCATTAATATGTGCTTACCATAAAAAAATTCCCTCATAATTGTTTGAATTTCAAAAAAAAAAAAAGTCTGTCTAGCTAAAGCAAGCCATCATATACATGTATTTCCACCTCCCCCATCTTTTCTAGCCTCTCTTTCTTCCTTCTCTTACACCTTGCTCTGAATCAGCCATTGTGCATCATAGTTCTACAAAGGCCACAGAAATACCCTCAGTGCCTTTAAACTAGCTATCTTCAATTTATCCAGCTGAATGGCTTGCTTTATCACTCACTCTTCTCCATCCATCTCCTCCACAACCCCACTACATGTTTCATGTGAAAAAAGTGAATAATCCCCCCTCAGGCCTCAGTATGTGCCACTGATGTATGCATAGCCTTTAATCTAAGAGGAAAAACCCACTATGGAAATCTGATCACAGCATCATATAACTTCCAAGGCAGTGAAAAGATGACAGACAGCTTTTGCAGCTATGAAGTGGCTGTTCCTATCAGACTTCAAGTAAGAGCCATTAAATTGAAGGTTCTGCTGCTATATAAGCAAAAATCCATAGGAGAAAGAACCAATTTGGAGCTCTGTGACATTCAAAGCAAGGCAGCCACTAATGGGTCCTGTCTATTCGCACTTTAGTACAGGAGAAAATAATACCCTGCCATTCTTTGGTTTTAAAGGTGGGGGGAGGAGAGAAATGAAGTTCACTTAAGGTTAGTCTATATGAAGATCGAAATATTTTGCCTGCAGAATTTTGTCAGACCAAAAGAGATGGTCTGTTTCTAGAGAACCTGTTCTTAAAGAGAACTAGGCAATTTTCCTCATACACTCTGATCTCCAAAGATTAGAGACAAGCAAGAGAAGATTTGAGGAATCACAAGCAAAACCATCAGCTTTAGCAAATGTCTGCATAAATGATACGGAAAAATATTTTGCATGAGTAGAAATTGAACTATTTCACAGACTGATAGTTCTCTCATGAGAATATCCACTTCTGCTTTATAAGCATTTGACATTCTTATTTAACCTATGTAGTAATACTGGGGAAAAAATATGCTACTAACTGAAACACCAAGAGATTAAAGGAATAATAGGCATTGATTCGAAAGACAACATGGAGTTTCTACTACTGGAAATACTGCGGTGGAAATAACATTCAGATCAGCAAAGGTGTTAAAATTGCTAGAGCCATTTTTAAGTGGTATACACACAAAAATCAAAAGTCTGTACATTTTAGGCATGCAGTTAGTACCACGAGAAGTACCTAAAGCTACTTTTGGCCAGATTCTCTACTTGCATGAAGTCTGTATAATTCCATGGATAATTATTTACTCTAGGTGAAGATGTGGTCTTCCTATAAGACCCATTATTCCTTCCTTCCTATAGAACACTATATTTTTATATGGCGTTTTGCCACTTTTTAACAAACAGCATTCGCATAGTAACAGCACTGCAATAAGGAAACATTTACTGGTGTCAGGAATATGCTTCTCTTGAGGTATAATAAATTGTATTGAATAAAATACAGAAAAAATATGATAAAGGGCATCTTCAAAACACTTCCTTTGGGAAGGATGCGTGTTGTAATAAGCAGAGTTTCTTTTTGCTCTTTAGGAGATCATCTCACTTCCTATATCAAGGTGAGCTGAGTAGCTGCTGATAACAAAAGAGCTGTCACCTCTGCAGAGCAAATTCTCAGAGAGGGAGACGTTATATATGTGACAAATAAATACTCACTGACAAAATATTGCAAAGCATATACCAGGCAAAATGGTAGTTCTTTAGAATGTACAAATCTGCTCTTTCACCAGATCAGAACTCTCTAGGTCAACTCATATTTTCTTAGCTTCATATGACAGCAACACACCTACACTCCTCATTTCAGAAAGTGGATTTCTCAAAACAAGTAATAAAAGATAAGCCCAGTTCTTTCAATGATTAAAAACAAATTATTTGACTGAATACAAGGAGTAACAGCAGTACAAAACTAGTAATCAGACTCAACATTGCTGGGTAAGATCCCCGTTCTCACAATAGTCTCTTAAACCAGTAGAATAGCAAAACTGAAGTATTAAATTACCAGTATTCTACCACATATATAGTGGAAAATAAAGCAGTATTGAGGAAAGAAAAGAAAAAGAAAACTTACTGGAGGACATATGGCTTTAATTTGGCAGTGACTGTCCCTAGAAAGCTCTCTCAAGCTAAGCTTTACTAGAGGGTATCTCAGCATCATTCACAGGTGGCTGATGCCCACCTACCTCCAGAGTTGAAGGATGTAAAAAACTATGGAAAAGCTACAGTCTCAAACTTATCAAGACATGAAAACACTCAAAGTAAAGACTCCCTGAATTCTCAATTTGCATGATTAATGTCTATCATTGTGTTTCCTATCTCTCTCAACCACTTGGTTTTGCCTCTTTCTTCAGATGGCAACTGTGTACGAATGGTACAGCTGGGAGTCATACATCAACTTCTGGATCTTTTGGAGAAACATGTAGAGAGTGAGGACATCTCTGTTCAACATGCTGCACTCAGTGCACTTCGAAACCTTGCTATACCAGGTACAGAGTTTGAAGACAACTGATTTACTGTGATTCTTTGTAAGGATGGGTCATTTAATGGAGATCTGTGTGGCTCTGTCCAACTTGCCAATTTCAGCCCCTTGTATTTTGAGGGGCAACTGACCATTTTTCCCCCCTGCAGAGACATATGTATTTCAGTCATTCACGAAGACTTTTTATCTACATAGAGGGTCTACATATAACAAAGAGTGATCTCATTGCCAGCTGTTGAAATGGTGTCATATTAACAACATAAAGCAGTTCAAGACAAAAATGCAGAACAGGGTCTACAGCTTAAAATACAGAGTATGGGGTGGAGCTATCACATCACAGCTGGCAGAGATTTCATAAATCTGCTCCTCTTCTATACAGCCAATATTCATTTTGAATTCAGCCTTTGTAACGAACATACTTAAAAACTACAAACGTAAGGGGGAGCATAAGAAAAACGGGGCCTGTTGTGATAGAACAAGGGGCAATGTTTTTTAACTACAAGAGGTAAGATTTAGCCTAGATATAATGAATACATTTTTCACAATGAGGACTGTGAAACACTGGAACAAGTTGCCCAGGGAGGTGGGTGTCCCATCTCTGGAAACATCCAACATCAGGTTGGATGGGGCTCTGAGTAACCCGATCTAGTTGAAGATGTCCCCACTCACTGAGGTGTGTGTGGGGGGGTTGAACTAGACGAGCTTTGAAGGTCCCTTCCAACTCAATTCCATGATTCTACTCTTGTGATCTTTTGTTAATACACATTAGGAAACTCTGCTGCTTCTCATGTCAAATTTACTGCTTCTACATGAAATTGCAATTCAGGCCAGAAATGTTTTCTTAGAGGCTTAAGAGTGCAGCACCCTGCAACAGTCCTTACATTGTTACACAGTACTCCAAAGAAGAGCATGACACCAATGGTACCTTGTAAAAATAAGAGAATTTGAAGTTGTCTGCCAATTTTATTACGTAAGTTAGCCAGCATGCTTGGCTTGACAGTTTAAGGCATAACCATTGCTTTGAACAAGTGAGAGCCCGAGAATATACTACTTGCTACTTTGCTTCCCCTACTTCCTTTTAAAGCTGATGCACTTTCCTTCTTGCAGACAGCTGTCCTTAGAACTTCACCTATTTCTTTCAACTTATTATTTATATGCCTTCAAGTAATTTATTTAGTTTGGTTTATAATATTATCACGCTCTCTGGATCATAACAGCCAGCCATTATCTGTCTATCCAGTATTTTAACAAACATATTTCACACCGTAAGCCCCTCACTGCTTTTATGTATAGTTTATTTCTCTGAAGAGATGTTCTACCACCATTCACATCAGCAGACAAATTGCTTTTTGGTGCTAATAGAGTATGCAGCACTTTGACGATGCATGCCAGCTACCTTACATCAGTTACAACCTAACACAGAGCTATTAGAAGATAATCACAGAACCATGAAAAATCATTGAGAGCCATCCACCTGAAATCAGGAGAGTGATTAAGTAGGCAAAAATGTAACTATCATTAGAATAAAAAGGTGGACTTTTTCCATAAGCCTAGGGGTGTCCCATGCTTAGCTCCCGTTGACTTCACTCCTGCAATATGTACAAGAGGATTTAATGATTACAAGCAGCAAAGATCCCAGTTAATCTCATTTGAAAGATAGCAATTTTGATGCAGTTTCCCTTGACAAGCAGTAGATAATCATGTTCTAACTCACAACAGAACATGTTCCTCAACAAATACCAAGGTCCAACTTTTGTAATGCCAAGCCCAGGCACTACTTGGGAGTTCCTTAGCAAAGCAACAAACACAGCTGATCTTGCAGAGATTACAAGATCTAAACCTCCAGAAAAACATGGTTGCAACCTACAACTTCACCCCCTATATCACTGCCTGCTACACATAGTACTAGTAGATCTTAATGTTCTTTATATGCCATAAGACATTCCCTCACAATAATAAATCACTTCCAGAAATACACAAACTTTTACCATTTCCAACAATATAGTCTGCTTCCTGGAGGGAAAACAAACAAACAAAACCAACCCCAACACAAATGATAACAAAAAAATTAAACAACAAACAACCCCAAACAACAATAAAACCCCACCAGCCACCAAAAAGATGACTGAGAGCAAATCCAAAGAGCACATAAACCAAGAATGACTTAAATACAGGCCAACACTTGCAAATGAGAACAGGGAGAATCTTCAATTCAAGTAATGATCTTGGAGAACAGAAGATTGTTAAAAGAAAAAAAATCATAAACAGTAATTACACTCTAGTGAATGGAGTCAGTCTGTGCCACTGAAAAACAAGGACATTAAGAACAGTGTCTGCTTCTCAATTTGTCCAATAGGAGGAGGAAGGGATAGAAGAGTTACCTCCCTAAATTCACTGTGTGGCATGTGTGCTCCTCCTCTTCCCCCAGGGGGAAAAAAAGAAACAAAAAACAAGGCACGTGGAAGATCATAAGAAAATTGCTCTGAAGGAAGCAGCTTGTGGTAACACAGTTAAGCAGCATCAGGACTCTTCCCACACAAGATTCTGATTATTACGAGGGATTACCACACTAACTGAAGCAAAGACACAAGAATAAGGAGATGAAAGCACAGAAACAAAGGCATGAACAACAGTGGCTCAGGGAGTTCAAATAATAAAAGAAAATTAGTTTTCCATAAATAAATATGGCTATGTAAATCACTTCTGCCACTCAGTTAAGATGAGCAAGCACAGGAAAGGCTTGCTCACAAGAGTGGGCAAGTGAATGGATAATTTATTACAATCAGAAAAAGAAAGATAAACAACAATGCTGTGTTTATCCTATTTATGCACTTCATTCCAGGCAGGGCTGAGATCAAAAGTAACCAAAACACTAACAGAAATTCCTGGGAAGTTTTTAGTTTAAGAGAAACCTAAACAATTGGGTAGTCCTGACTTAATTTCTGAGCACTCTTAACAAGATGGACCTTTCAGTAAGAGCATAATGCAGCATAAAATTGAGAATGGTTATGTTGTATCTACATTTTCAGATGCTTGTGTAGTTACTGAGCTTCACAGCACTGTCTTTATTTTTCCATTTTCTAGCTGTTAGCAAGGTTCAAATGCTGGAAGAAGGTGTGGCAGAACGGATTCAGACACTTCTAAAGTCAGAGATACCTCCTGTGCAGTTTAAACTTTTTGAAACACTACGGATGTTAGCAGATGGTCAAGGTAGGGAATTGCTAATGTTTACTGATGTCAAATATACACCCCGCTTCTCCCCTCTTCCTGCAAGACAATGAATGTGCAAGGAGACTACAGCTAAGTGTCCTGCTGACCTAATTCCACTCAATCTGGAGAGATTCCAACGGTGATGATTGCCAAAGGCTGCAAGCCTTCCATACTGTCCCAGTCAGCCTCAGAGGTACACGAGAAAAAAACCAAATGGAAGAATCTGCATAGTCAGTGAGAAATGGCAAAGGCCTCAAAGGAAGATGTTTTTGACCAGAGATACACCAGCAAGGCATGAGTATGACGGAAAAGATTAAGGCTAAGGCTTTACAGTGCCAAATCACAGGAAAGCAAATCAATAACAAGACTGGGGAACATAAAAGGATTAAAGAGAGCTGGGGTGGAATGAGGTAGGAGAAACTAGTTTCTACCAGTCACACAGTCTCTCTATACACATGGTGCCAGGTTTCTGTTGCTGATGTGGGTCAAATGTTGAATTTACTTTGCATGTTGAAATATGGGATTATCTACTTGCACTTCATTCACTTCTGCAGAGAGGTGTGTATACAAAGGTGACAATACTCACTCTGTGCATATACTTGCATTTTTAGAAACATGCACAATTTCAGAATTATGTTAAGATCTACTATAGTAGCCTCTTAATTTAGCCTTAGATTTATCTAGCTTCTTACCAGAGTGTAACACAAACACAAGTGTTGTGAGGTTTAGTTTTCTTAGTAAGTGTTCTAATTCTTTCATATCACCAGAGCAGCTGCCCTAGAACACCTTGAGATGTGCGGGAACTACAAAAATATAGGTAAAAACAGAACCAGAAAAGCTGTGACTTTTCTGTGCAATAGGAACTAACGGTACAGAACCATTACAATCACAAATTTGTTTGTTATATGGAAGGGGAAAAAAAACAAACAAAAAAACAAACAACTTTCTCCCACATTCCATGCTGCACTCGTTTACACCACGGAAGACATGACTTCGATATAGCAGCTACTTGCATCCTTTTTCAAACTAATACACGTGATACGCATGACTGGTTGATGAGAAACTCGACATGAGCAGCCTTCAGTGTGCGCTCGCAACCCAGAAACCAAC